CTGACCCCCTAGCCAATCTTGCCATACACCGTAGCTAATCTACGAGGTCCCGAACGACCTCGTAAGATGTGGAAGGCCGTAAACTACTTAATAAATACAGATTAAGCCGATTTGCTGGAAGAAAGATGAACAGGTTTCGTAAGAGGACAAACACGTAAATATTTGATGAATCCAGGCCCAGCCCTCCTTGACAAGGTTACTATTCTTATACGAAAAACAGTGTTTGTGTTCTGTTTACTGTGTCTACACCTATTATATTACACCCCCATAATGTGCCTTCCACGCTATGCCCCAAAAATATATCATCTACATTAAGTTATCCACACAATAACTAGGAGGCCTGGTCGAGGACCGGGCCGTGGGGACGCTAAGCCCCGAAACCATCTCAAGGTAACCTCAAGGTAGGATATCCACAATATGCTTTCTCCGCTATGTTAAGAGATTTTAAACGTTATTAAGATCCCATCCCAGCTAAAAGAGGTTTACAAGGCTTTCATTGCCGTTCTTCTGCTGTTAAGGCGCCGGGAACGCTATATTTTGCCGTTAAGAGATATCATATGATGCATTCTGTGGTTAAAAGAGGGTTTACAGCCTATATTTTGCTGTTTGAGAGGATTCAATGGATATATTCCGCTCACGGTATTTAGGACTATATTCTCCTAATGAGAGAGGTTTTAATCGGTATATTCTGCTAATACGTGGTATTAAAGGCTATATTCTGCAGTTAAAATATGTTTTAAACCCAAATTCTGCCGTTAAAATATGTTTTAAAGTCAAATTCTGGTTTTAAGAGAGGTTTTAAAGCTACATTATGTTCATGGCGTGAGGCGGGTGACCCCGCCCCCCGCCCCCATGTTAAAGGGACTGGTGGAGCAGATGTCAGCTACTCTAAATGGGTAGATTAAAGTTTAATTACATGTTTGCCTCTGTGTTTATGCTACGGAGGGGGGAGACTCGTACCCCGACGCCTGGGGCCCGATTAGGCTGTATACCTGTGGCTGCTGGCCTGATCCACCACACTGTTGGTGCTGGCCTGATCCACCACGCTGTTGTGCTGGCCTGATCACCACACTGTTGGTGCTGGCCTGATCCACCACGCTGTTGTGCTGGCCTGATCCACCACGCTGTTGTGCTGGCCTGATCACCACACTGTTGGTGCTGGCCTGATCACCACACTGTTGGTGCTGGCCTGATCACCACACTGTTGGTGCTGGCCTGATCCACCACACTGTTGGTGCTGGCCTGAGCCACTACACTGTTGGTGCTGGCCTGAGCCACTACACTGTTGGTGCTGGCCTGAGCCACCACACTGTTGGTGCTGGCCTGAGCCACTACACTGTTGGTGCTGGCCTGAGCCACCACACTGTTGGTGCTGGCCTGAGCCACCACACTGTTGGTGCTGGCCTGATCACCACACTGTTGGTGCTGGCCTGATCACCACACTGTTGGTGCTGGCCTGATCACCACACTGTTGGTGCTGGCCTGAGCCACCGCACTGTTGGTGCTGGCCTGAGCCACCACACTGTTGGTGCTGGCCTGAGCCACCACACTGTTGGTGCTGGCCTGAGCCACCACACTGTTGGTGCTGGCCTGAGCCACCACACTGTTGGTGCTGGCCTGATCACCACACTGTTGGTGCTGGCCTGAGCCACCACACTGTTGGTGCTGGCCTGAGCCACCACACTGTTGGTGCTGGCCTGATCACCACACTGTTGGTGCTGGCCTGATCACCACACTGTTGTGCTGGCCTGATCCACCACACTGTTGGTGCTGAGTCACCACACTGTTGGTGCTGAGTCACCACACTGTTGGTGCTGGCCTGAGCCACCGCACTGTTGGTGCTGGCCTGAGTCACCACACTGTTGGTGCTGGCCTGAGCCACCACACTGTTGGTGCTGACAACCTTCACAGGGGTGTATAAGTTTATCAATGTTTGAGGAGGGTTATTATATGTGTTTAATCTCTCTCTCGAGGGGCACCTGGTACCCATACCCACACATTAATGTGGGAGAGGGGCACCTGGTACCCACACATTAATGTGGGAGAGGGGCACCTGGTACCCACACATTAATGTGGGAGAGGGGCACCTGGTACCCACACATTAATGTGGGAGAGGGGCACCTGTTACTCATACCCACACATTAATGTGGGCGAGGGGCACCTGGTACCCACACATTAATGTGGGAGAGGGGCACCTGGTACCCACACATTAATGTGGGAGAGGGGCACCTGGTACCCACACATTAATGTGGGAGAGGGGCACCTGTTACTCATACCCACACATTAATGTGGGCGAGGGGCACCTGGTACCCACACATTAATGTGGGAGAGGGGCACCTGGTACCCACACATTAATGTGGGAGAGGGGCACCTGGTACCCACACATTAATGTGGGAGAGGGGCACCTGTTACTCATACCCACACATTAATGTGAGCGAGGGGCACCTGGTACCCACACATTAATGTGGGAGAGGGGCACCTGTTACTCATACCCACACATTAATGTGGGCGAGGGGCACCTGGTACCCACACATTAATGTGGGTGAGGGGCACCTGGTACCCACACATTAATGTGGGCGAGGGGCACCTGGTACCCACACATTAATGTGGGCGAGGGGCACCTGGTACCCACACATTAATGTGGGAGAGGGGCACCTGGTACCCACACATTAATGTGGGAGAGGGGCACCTGGTACCCACACATTAATGTGGGAGAGGGGCACCTGTTACTCATACCCACACATTAATGTGAGCGAGGGGCACCTGGTACCCACACATTAATGTGGGAGAGGGGCACCTGTTACTCATACCCACACATTAATGTGGGCGAGGGGCACCTGGTACCCACACATTAATGTGGGTGAGGGGCACCTGGTACCCACACATTAATGTGGGAGAGGGGCACCTGGTACCCACACATTAATGTGGGCGAGGGGCACCTGGTACCCACACATCAATGTGGGAGAGGGGCACCTGGTACCCACACATTAATGTGGGTGAGGGGCACCTGGTACCCACACATTAATGTGGGAGAGGGGCACCTGGTACCCACACATTAATGTGGGAGAGGGGCACCTGGTACCCACACATTAATGTGGGCGAGGGGCACCTGGTACCCACACATTAATGTGGGCGAGGGGCACCTGGTACCCACACATTAATGTGGGCGAGGGGCACCTGGTACCCACACATTAATGTGGGAGAGGGGCACCTGGTACCCACACATTAATGTGGGCGAGGGGCACCTGGTACCCACACATTAATGTGGGCGAGGGGCACCTGGTACCCACACATTAATGTGGGTGAGGGGCACCTGGTACCCACACATTAATGTGGGAGAGGGGCACCTGGTACCCACACATTAATGTGGGAGAGGGGCACCTGTTACTCATACCCACACATTAATGTGGGCGAGGGGCACCTGGTACCCACACATTAATGTGGGTGAGGGGCACCTGGTACCCACACATTAATGTGGGAGAGGGGCACCTGGTACCCACACATTAATGTGGGAGAGGGGCACCTGGTACCCATACCCACACATTAATGTGGGAGAGGGGGGCAGCTGGTATCTATACCCACACACTAATGTGGGAGAGGGGGGCAGCTGGTATCTATACCCACACATTAATGTGGGAGAGGGGCACCTGGTACCCACACATTAATGTGGGTGAGGGGCACCTGGTACCCACACATTAATGTGGGCGAGGGGCACCTGGTACCCACACATTAATGTGGGTGAGGGGCACCTGGTACCCACACATTAATGTGGGTGAGGGGCACCTGGTACCCACACATTAATGTGGGTGAGGGGCACCTGGTACCCACACATTAATGTGGGTGAGGGGCACCTTAAGGCTTCCATATATATTCTTATCATTAACGATCAATAAGACGCCATGAATGATATTTGTCTTGCAATAAATAATGTTTGCAATATATTAATCTGGTATTGAGTAGTGTATAGCGTGAGGTGTGAGCGATGGTAGGCTAGTGTCGCAGGTCTTGTGTGTGTGGTTGGAGAGTTCCGGTAAGAGAGAAATACTTGGCCGTGTTGCCTATCACCTAATGCGTCTGTTCACCTAGCAGGAAATGTACAGTGAGTTTGTGTGGTTGCATGGGGGGGGGTTGTTCCACCTTGGGGGACCTCAATATAGGCCTAACATGTATTTAAACAGTCTGCCTGTCCCCAACACAATGAATTATACATTATTATGTAAACAATATATGAAGGTTGCAAGTATTATTTCGTGTGTTTACATGTGTATAGCAAGACCCGCCTGTTACACGTGTGTATAGCAAGACCCACCTGTTATAGGTGTATAGCAAGACCCGCCTGTTATAGGTGTATAGCAAGACCCACCTGTTACACATGTGTATAGCAAGACCCACCTGTTACACGTGTATAGCAAGACCCACCTGTTACACATGTGTATAGCAAGACCCACCTGTTACACATGTGTATAGCAAGACCCACCTGTTACACATGTGTATAGCAAGACCCACCTGTTACACATGTGTATAGCAAGACCCACCTGTTACACATGTGTATAGCAAGACCCACCTGTTACACATGTGTATAGCAAGACCCACCTGTTATAGGTGTATAGCAAGACCCGCCTGTTATAGGTGTATAGCAAGACCCACCTGTTATAGGTGTATAGCAAGACCCACCTGTTATAGGTGTATAGCAAGACCCACCTGTTATAGGTGTATAGCAAGACCCACCTGTCACACATGTGTATAACAAGACCCACCTGTTATAGGTGTATAACAAGACCCACCTGTTATAGGTGTATAGCAAGACCCACCTGTTATAGGTGTATAGCAAGACCCGCCTGTTATAGGTGTATAGCAAGACCCACCTGTTATAGGTATATAGCAAGACCCACCTGTTATAGGTGTATAACAAGACCCACCTGTTATAGGTATATAGCAAGACCCACCTGTTATAGGTATATAGCAAGACCCGCCTGTTATATGTGCATAGCATGACCCACCTGTTATACAAGTCTGCCGTGTGGTGGGGTGGCGGGGTAGAGTGGTAGATGTAGATGTGTCTACCGCCTCCTGCCTGGCACTCCTCCCAGGTGCAGCAGCGGGGACGGGAGGTGAGGCAGCGCTGGTGCCCTGTGCTGTTGGCACAGTGCCAGCTCCCCCCTGGGGCCCTGGAGCACCCTCCTCCCCCCTGGCACCCGCCTTAGGCCTATCCTCTGCCTTTTCCTCGGTGCCAAATTCTATCTCGGTCACATGTTCTTCCTTATGTTTCTTGGCACTTGTGGTAGGCCTAGCCTCTGCCTGCTCCTCGGTGCCTACTGCTCCCTGGCTGGTGGCGGAGGCTTCCTGCTTCCCCTTGGCACTCGTGGAGGCACTCGGGGTGGCACTCGTGGAGGCACTCGTGGAGGCACTCGGGGTGGCACTCGGGGTGGCACTGGTGGAGGCCCTGGTGGAGGCACCGTCGCCCTCCGGGGCGGTACACACATCTTCCTTCACTTCCAAACTTTCTTCCGTTTCCGGAGTGTTGATGGCGGTTGTGTGTCTCTGGTTGGTCGATGTGCTGCTTTGGGAATTGACGTGGGCGTGGGCCTGGATGTGGGTGTGGGCAGGGATATAGGGGTGGGCAGAGAGGTCGCCCACCCCGCCCTGAGAGTGGCGCAGGTCGGCCGTGGGCAGGGCGAGGCAGGTGCGCAGATCGTGGGGGTCGTGGGCGGCGTGGGCGTGGGCGTGGGGGGCGTGGGGGTCGTGGGCGGCGTGGGCTTGCGGGGCGGAGCACCAGTCGTAGCGGCCCGTGGCCAGGGGCACTTCCTTGATGGGGTCAAAGTTCCACTTTTTGGCGAAGTCGCGGGCGGAGATGGTGAGGAGGTGGTCAGCCATTGTGAGGTTATGTTTGGGGTTGTTGGTGCCCAGGAGGGAGAGTGCCATCCTGGCCCCCGCCCTCCTCACCGCCTTCGTCGCCAGCCCTCTCCTCGTCGACGACACCGCCATTTACTCTCGGAAAGAAAAAAACTTTTCAGCAGCAAAGTCTCGTCGCTGACTGCGTCTGCGGTAGTCACTGACAGAGCAGCAGCAGAGCGCGAACACGTCCTCCCACTAGTGATACTTGTGAGTAACTGACTCCTGCCAGGCCGGGAGAGGCTGACACTTACCTGGTGAAGTTACTATCTCTCGCCATAGCGCTTAACCCTCCTCATTATTTCGTCTATGTTTTCTCCTATTCAATATAAATTACACTATTTTCTTCCCTCCTCGCGATGTATTCGTTCAATTTCACGCTTTTTCCTTATGATTATTTTATTGTTGAGTTTTCATTGACATTTATTACCGTAATGAATAAGAGGTGATTTACGATAGTGGAGGTATGTGGCAGTTGATACCCGAGATTTACGCTCGCTGATTGGCTGAGAGCGACACCCACACAGGAAGGAAGCCGCGGAACATCATACACACACACACACACACGCACACGCACAAACGCACACACGCACACACACACACACACACACACACACACACACACACACACACACACACACACACACACACACACACACACACACACACACACACACACACACACACACACACACACACACACACAGGTGGAGGCTGACTCCATACACAGTTTCAGGTGTAGATATGATAGAGCCCAGTAGGCTCAGGAATCTGTACACCAGTTGATTGACAGTTGAGAGGCGGGACCAAAGAGAAAGAGCTCAACCCCCGCAAGCACAACTAGGTGAGTACACACACACACACACACACAGACACACGTACACACACACACACAGACACACACACACACACACACACACACACAAACACACACACACACACACACACACACACACACACACACACACACACACACACATACACACACACACATAGTATAGAGTTTAACCCAAGCAAATGTAATGTAATGAAGATACGTTTTTTTTATTATTATTATTTTCTACCACAGACGTAACTACACATTTACAATGCTAACCAGCATATTTACATTTTCTTCTGTCCTCCATGGACAGGGATAGAAATGTGTTAAACATATAGTTCAAGGGTTTATTGAACACTCAACCACAGAAGGTGATTCGGTGCTTTTAAAATGCTAAGCTAACCTACATACGTAAATACATAGATACACAGATTTACGTATGCCCTACATAAAGTGTTAGATGTGGCTTTTACATAGTGTCATTAATGTACATTCACAAAGGGGAAATGTTATTCTGATCAGCTTCCATATATACTTTATACACATACATATACATACACACACACATATACGTACACATACATATATACATACATGTATACATACATATATACACACACATGCATTCACATACATTTGTCTGTTTTACTCTAACAGGGTGAGATAACTGATAGAGCAACTAGTGTGCAATTAAGCACTTAATCACTGAAGGTGATGAAGGTGCTTTTACAAGCTCAGGTTATATAGTTACATCACATACATACATTGTATAATTGATACATTACATGGTCAATCTTGGGTACAAGTCCAATATATCATCAAGTGTTCCAGTACTCATATAGTAACTACAGAATTCAGCATACCTTAGCCCAGGAGGGCGAAAGTCAGTCAGTATGGGACATTCTACAATATAATGTTCAAGAGAGTGCATGTTTTCTCTTTCACAAAGTTGACACTTGGTGTATTCCGACACTTTCACAAAGTTGACACTTGGTGTATTCCAACACTTTCACAAAGTTGACACATTGTGTACTCGACATTTAGGTTTTGAGAAAGCTGCCAGATACGTCTATATCCCAGGCGTATTCTGGCCACTATAACATCACATTGCCGGGTTCTTGTTCTATTAGTCCCATATGTGAATGTCTCCTCACGATATCTATCATAATATTTAATGCTACAACTTTCAGGTCTTTGTGAACGTGTTAGGTTGATGAGATCTTTATTAGATATTTGTTTAAGTATTTGTCACTGCTAATGAAACACCCATATCAATTTCTACCACTGGTTTTCTACAGGCTGCCTTTGCCAGCATATCAACAGTGTCATGCCTATAGGTGTAGGGAGCAGGAGGCGAGATACAAGGTATCATTTGGGAGATTAAATACTTCAGGAGTCAGAGGGAGAGAAAGACCTGGGGGTTGATATCACGCCAGACCTGTCCCCTGAAGCTCATATCAAGAGGATAACATCAGCGGCATATGCCAGGTTGGCTAACATAAGAACGACATTTAGACACTTGTGTAAGGAATCTTTCAATTTTTTTTTACCACATATGTCAGACCAATCTTGGAGTATGCAGCTCCAGCATGGAGTCCATATCTAGTCAAGCATAAGACTAAACTGGAAAAGGGTCAAAGGTTTGCCACCAGACTAGTACCCGAACTGAGGGGGTATGAGCTACAAGGAGAGACTACGGGAATTAAACCTCACATCATTGGAAGACAGAAGAGTTATTGGAGACATAATCACCACATACAAGATTCTCAAAAGAATTGGGTAGATAAAGACAGGCTATTTAACACAAGGGGCACACGCACTAGAGGACACAGGTGGAAATTGAGTGCCCAAATAAACGATAGAGACATAAAAAAACTACTGAAATGTCAGCTACTCTGACATTTCAGTGTCAGGGTAGCTGACAGATGGAATGCATTAGGAAGAGATATGGCGGAGGCTGACTCCATACAAAGTTGAGAGGCGGGACCAGTGAGCTAAAGCTCAACTCCTGCAAGCACAACTAGGAGAGTACAACTAGGTGAGTACACACACACACACACACACACACACATGTGTGTGTGTGTGTTTGTTAGAGGTATTTGTTACAGGTACTGTAACAAATGGAGGGAAAAAAATTATAGTCGCAGTCATATATAATCCACCACCAAATGACAGAAGACCTAGACAGGAATATGATAGAAACAACATGGCCACCATTAACATAATAGAAAGAGCAGCTTCTGTTGCTAGCAGGAATGGATCTGGGCTACTAATTATGGGAGACTTCAACCATGGGAAGATAGATTGGAAGAACAGAGACCCGCATGGAGGACCAGAAACATGGAGAGCTAAGCTGCTGGACGTGGCAACAAGAAACTTTCTAAGCCAGCATACCAAAGAGCCAACAAGAATGAGAGGAGAAGATGAACCAGCAATGCTTGATTTGATATTTACCCTAAATGAATGGGATATAAGGGAAGTTAAGATGGAAGCGCCCTTGGGAATGAGTGACCACAGTGTATTGAACTTTGAGTACCTGGTAGAGCTAGGACTTATCTCCCCCCAAAAAGAACTAGGAATCAAAAGGCTGGCATACCGAAAGGGGAATTATGAACAGATGAGAAGTTTCCTAAGTGAAATACCTTGGGACACAGACCTCAGAGACAAGTCTGTACAGGGTATGATGGACTATGTTACACAAAAGTGTCAGGAGGCAGTAAACAGGTTCATCCCGGCCCAAAGGGAAAAATCCGAGAAGCAACAGAAGAATCCATGGTATAATAGGGCATGTATGGAAGCGAAGAAACTGAACAAAAAGGCGTGGAGGAACTTCCGGAATAACAGAACACCAGAAAGCAGGGAGAGATACCAGAGAACCAGGAATGAGTACGTCAGGGTGAGAAGAGAAGCAGAGAAAAATTTTGAAAATGATATAGCAAACAAAGCCAAGACCGAACCAAAGCTACTCCACAGTCACATCAGAAGGAAAACAACAGTGAAAGAACAGGTATTGAAACTTAGAACAGGCGAGGACAGGTATACAGAGAATGACAGAGAGGTGTGTGAGGAACTCAACAAGAGGTTCCAGGAGGTCTTCACAATAGAACAGGGTGAGGTCACTGTGCTAGGAGAAAGGGAGGTAAACCAGGCGGCCTTGGAGGAGTTCGAAATTACGAGAGAGGAGGTCAAGAGACACCTGCTGGATCTGGATGTTAGAAAGGCGGTTGGTCCAGATGGGATCTCACCATGGGTACTGAAAGAGTGTGCAGAGGCACTTTGCTTGCCACTCTCCATAGTGTATAGTAAATCACTAGAGACGGGAGACCTACCAGAAATATGGAAGACGGCGAATGTGGTCCCAATATACAAAAAGGGCGACAGACAAGAGGCACTGAACTACAGGCCAGTGTCCTTGACTTGTATACCATGCAAGGTGATGGAGAAGATCGTGAGAAAAAACCTGGTAACACATCTGGAGAGAAGGGACTTCGTGACAAATCGCCAACATGGATTCAGGGAGGGTAAATCTTGCCTTACAGGCTTGATAGAATTCTACGATCAGGTGACACAGATTAAGCAAGAAAGAGAGGGCTGGGCGGACTGCATTTTCTTGGATTGTCGGAAAGCCTTTGACACAGTACCGCATAAGAGGCTGGTACATAAGCTGGAGAGACAGGCAGGTGTAGCTGGTAAGGTGCTCCAGTGGATAAGGGAGTATCTAAGCAATAGGAAGCAGAGAGTTACGGTGAGGGGTGAGACCTCCGATTGGCGTGAAGTCACCAGTGGAGTCCCACAGGGCTCTGTACTCGGTCCTATCTTGTTTCTGATATATGTAAATGATCTCCCGGAGGGTATCGATTCATTTCTCTCAATGTTTGCGGACGATGCTAAAATTATGAGAAGGATTAAAACAGAAGAGGACTGTTTGAGGCTTCAAGAAGACCTAGACAAGCTGAAGGAATGGTCGAACAAATGGTTGTTAGAGTTTAACCCAACCAAATGTAATGTAATGAAGATAGGTGTAGGGAGCAGGAGGCCAGATACAAGGTATCATCTGGGAGAGGAAATTCTTCAGGAGTCAGAGAAGGAAAAAGACTTGGGGGTTGATATCACGCCAGACCTGTCTCCTGCAGCACATATCAAGCGGATAACATCAGCGGCATATGCCAGGCTGGCCAACATACGAACGGCATTCAGAAACTTGTGTAAAGAATCATTCAGAACTTTGTATACCACATATGTCAGGCCAATCCTGGAGTATGCAGCCCCAGCATGGAGTCCATATCTAGTCAAGGATAAGACTAAACTGGAAAAGGTTCAAAGGTTTGCCACCAGACTAGTACCCGAGCTGAGAGGTATGAGCTACGAGGAGAGACTACGGGAATTAAACCTCA